CTTGATGGTGTTTATGGGGTTTCGGTGATGATGGCCCTGTCTCTATGTTTCTTACATCCCATATTATGGGGCAGGACATCACCCCCTGCAATCCAAGCTTCCTGATGTTGCACCGATCGTCCCATGTGGAGCAAGCTCCTCCCCAGCTGGCATCCTCAGACCTTCCTCCCCAAATGTCCAGAGTCACGTGACACGCACGCATTCCCGCAGGGAGAGGACCCACAGTGAAGGCCCCGCCCTCGTCACGCTGACAGGTGCATCAGTGAGCGGCCAACAGGTGGAGCTCTTGGTCCCACCTTCATGCCTTTTTTTTTTTAAGGTTTATTTATTTACTTGAAAGTCAGATTAAACAGGAGAGGGAGAGGGAGAGGGAGAAGGAGAGGGAGAGGGAGAGGGAGAAGGAGAGGGAGAGAGAGAGAGAGAGAGAGAGAGAGAGAGAGATCTTCCATCCACTGGTTTACTCCCAATTGGCCGGATTGCACCGGTCAGAAGCCAGGAGCCAGGAGCTTCCTCCTGGTCTCCTGCATGTGTGCAGGGGCCCAAGGGCTTGGGCCATCTTCTACTGCTTTCCCAGGCCTTAGCAGAGAGTCAGATTGAAAGTGGAGCATCCGGGACTCGAACCGGCACCCCTATGGGATGCTGGCACTGCTGTGCCACAGCGCTGGTCCCACCTGTTTCAGCTTGGACAGGTGTGGTTAAGGTACCTGGATGCCTCTACCCAAGAAGGTCTCTGTCCTGGAGAGGCTGGAGGTGGCCAGTGCTTCCACCCATGTGTACACCTCCTTGTGCCAGGCTTCCTTCTGCTCCAATCCCACACGGTCGCCATCTGCATGCAGGGGCCTCCCTCCCTCCCTCCCTCCAGTGCCATCATACGTGAAGGGACAGCGATGAGTTCATGGGAAAAGGGAATTAAGGAAATCTGAACGCATGCATAGTGTTTTCAGAACAGGTGTTTTTCACGAACTTTTTCCATCTCGTCCAACAGGCAAGGCCACCTGTCCCTTCCTTAGGGCCTCTGCTGGGCCCGTAGGGGTGACCCGGTCCTCCAGGCGGGTCCTCCAGCCCACCACGTCTCAGCCGCACCTTTGCTGCTTACCTGAGACCAGGGAGACAGAAAGTGCGACAATTTACAGGGAGTGGGTTACGCCTCACAGGCAGGAATCCAGGGACCACAGCAGCCTAGGGTTCAGGATAAGCTGGTGCCCAAGCTGGCTAAGCCCCCAGGGGCGGGCTAACCTAGGAGTGACTTCCCTAGGAGGAAGAGGGTTACAAGGATGGGCTCCTTCTGTGGGTTCCCCTGCCTTCTACCCTGAGAGCCCAGGCAAGGAGAGGGCAAAACTGGGCTGCCCAGGTCCCTCCAAGTCCCCTCCTCCAGGAAGCCCTCCCTGGTGCCCTAAGCCCCTGACCCAGCCCCGCCCACTCCAGGTCTCCACTGGGAAGAGAAGCAGGCCTGGCACTAAGTGCACTGTGGCCCAGCATCAATGAACACAGAGTCCAACTCCAGGAATGAGCAGGGAGTGGATGGTTGACAGGCCTGGCTCCGCGTGTGCTGACTCAACCCTGCCTGCCCTGACACAGCGGCTGCACCTCCCCGGCTCCCTGGCAAGCTGGGGAACATCTGGGCCCCCGGGCATGGCCCCTCCCCTGCTCACCCAACCCCCTGCAGAGCTGCAGGGAGCCAGGCACCAGGAGCTCCAGGGCCCCCGCAGGAGAGGGCGGGGCGGGGCGGGGCTCAGAGCCTTCTCAGTGCTGGGTTCCTGCCCTGAGGCTGCAGTTCCCAGCAAAATTAGCTATGAGGTCATCGCAAGACACACGCGGCAGAAGCAGGCAGAGGTACATGGGCCCAGCGTGCCCTGGCTGCCTCGGAGCCTCCCGCCCCCTGGGAGCCTGGTCCTGGCGGCCTCCCTCAGCCCCCCGCCCCCTGGGAGCGTGGTCCAGCACCGTGGAGACCTTGCCGTCCCCTGGCTGAGTCTGGTGGAGTGCAGGCGGTGCGGGTTTTGCCCAGAAGTCCCAGAGACGAATAAAGTCGGAGACGGACCCTGGCTCTGGCGTCCGTGGGGGCTTCCCGAGCGCAAGGCCTGGTTTTCTGTTTTTCGTTTCCCGTCCCCCGTGTGCGGGATGAGAGCAGGGACTCCCGCAGGGCGGGCTCTGCCCGGGGAATGAGCGCCTGTCCTGGGTCCTAGCACGGCGCGCGGAGTGCGCGCGTGCGCTCCCAACACTGACCACCAGGGGGAGCCGGGATCGGGAGCGAGGATAGCGGGGGCCCTGACCATGGGCATCGGAGTCCCAGTCCTGTGTGTGAGTGTGCGTGAGCGAGGCCCGCAGTGTCCTCAGAGGTCGCCCAGTTTGCTGTTCATTCAGACTGGGATTTCCCCACGTGTGGACACAGCCACAACGGTGCCTTTCCCCTGAGAGACAGCAGCCAGGGTTGATGGACAGCCCCTGAGTTCTGGGTCCTGGGCTGGTCCTGGCAGGCCAGGGAGCTGATGGAGACCAGGGACACGGCATCCACCCACACACGTCAGTGACTTTGTCCTACTAAAAAGATCCCACACAGCGCTCACAATTAGAGCCCTACAAAGAAAACAAAGTCATTGCCAATGCATTTTACAAGGAAATGCCAGAATCAAGTGCAGGGCAGGGAAGTGGTTCAGGGCAGGCTAAGCAAGGAACACACCTTTGTGACCTCTCCTTGGACAGCTAATGTCACTGAGAGTGCGATACCCGCAACGCAACCCACAGACCCAGCACGGCCCCTCCGGGAGCCCCACACCCTTGCTTTGTGCAGCAGTGTCTCCGCTGATTTCCAGATCCATGAGGAATATCGCGAACCCTGCATGGACTGAAACTGTTTGAAAGCCACAAGGAACGGCCACTTTGCACCACGGGGAGGGTGAGGCTTCAAAACTGGGGGCTGGGGGACGTGGGACGGAGCTGGCCAGGAAGCGGAGAAGCCACAAGCCTTGTGCCTTGTTGCCGGGAGTGTGTGATGGTGCAGTCCCTGTTGGAGACAGGTGGTTCCCCCTTAGACAGACATCACCTGAGCAGACCCTGCTCCCGCAGCGTGTGCCCCCAGAGAGCGGAAAACAGGTGCTCAAAGAAACGCTGGGTGGTCAGAGTCGCATCAGCCACAATGTCCACAATGCAAACATCGCCGGTGGCCACCGACTGCAACCGGTAAGGCGGAAGATGCGACATCCATGTGAGGGAATGTCATGATGAGGAATGAAGCCCGA